TGTTACCCCTCCCGGATGTGCTCACACCCCAGTGACACCCTAGAGCTCCTGGTCTCAGGTGAGTAGCCTCTGACCCTGTCCTTTCTGAGCTCAGTGCCATGTCTCCAGGGCCATGTCTCCAGGAGGGCTCTTGGGTAAGACAGGAGAAAGGGGGAGTCACACAGAGGGGATCTGCCCTTAACAGGCCCTCTCACTCCTGCCCACCCCTGCTCCTCACTTGGGGTCAAGAAGGTGCCTGGTGTGCAGCAGAGGGTCTTGGGGTTTCCATATGACAGATGTAGGAAAATAATTTGAGTAGTGAGGGGGGACTCCAGGGTCAGCTCCAGCCCCTCACCTTTTCCCTGTGCTCATTCCAAGGACCCTCTGGGGACCCCAGCCCCTCACCCACAGGTTCCGTCTCCACAGCTGGTGAGTCATTGGGAACTCTGATCAGAACAGACCACCCCAGGGCAGTTCTAAGTCTCAGAGGATTTAATGCCCCTCTGGGATGGGCTTGTGCCCCATGGGGCTGGGAGTCAGGCAGAAGTGAGGGGTGGGAATCATGGGGCTCCTGGGGCTCTGAGGCTGGGCAGGGATGACAGGTAGGGCAGTCAGGGCAGAGGGAGATGTTGGGGCCCAGCATGGGGAGAAGCAGCTGAGCTGAAGTGGGGAGAAGGCAACCCCCACACTTCACCCTCCATTCTGATCCCCAAGGAGGCTCTGAGCATCAGTCCCCCACCACCACAGAGTCTGGCCCACAGAGTGGTAAGTGAGGGTCCGTGGGGAGGTGATGGATGGGTCCATCAGTGGCTGAGTTATGCCTTCTATTCAGTGTCTGGGGACACTGACTTCGACACACTCCTCCCCTATCTGGGCCTCAGTTTCTCCAGTTGTAAAAGGAGGGAATCATGGCCCAGAGCTTAGATTTTCTTTCAGTTATTGTTTTTGGCTCTGACCTCCTGAGAAGGGGAGCTCACAGGGAAGCCCCTCAGGATATGATTTTACGGGGCCTGCCCCTTATGCAGCAGTGACACTGAATGGGGAGGGTCAGGCAGAACAGTGGACTCGGGTTTCAGGCTCTTCCNTGAAAAAGGGATGAAATGATTAACTTAAAATCACGATGATGGTTACTTAACGAGTACACAAAAGAAACTTGAGAAGCTCCTGGAATGCTGGACATGTTCTTGTTGACTTGCTTTTGGTTACACCTGTGTTTGATCTGGATTATTATTAACAGTAATTTTGTTTAATGGTCTTTATGTATATTTTAAGGTTCTTAACAAAAATGAAAACAAAAATCATAGAGAGGTCACAGGGAAACTTCAGGGCACAGCAGCATGAGCACAATGGACATTATACTGGAAACCATATGGGAATATCAGATTGTCTGAAACCTCAACCCAGGCTCAGGTCTAAGGAGAAATCCAGGCCCTAATTGGACCTTTAACACCAGATGGAATGGGCTTGCCTATATAGGGATTCTGACCTTTCAACCTTCATAGGAAAGGTCAGTATTACACAGTGACCTGGTACTTCATCTCTGTAGTTTGATGCTGTGTATTAAAACCAAGATCCAATTGTTACTCTCTGAGGAAGATCCTTAAACTCTGTATCTCACATTCAACACCCATAAAACTGGGGTGGTGAGAGTGTTAACTTTATAAACTCCCTGAGAGATAGAAACAGGCAACGTATCTAAGTCACTTAGAACAAGAGCCAACAACTTTTTTCTGTAGAGAGCAAGATAACAAATACTTTAGGCTTTGTGGGCCTTATGATCTCTTTCTCAACTACTCAACACTACCATTATAGTGTGAAAGCAATTGTGGTCAATATGTAAATGAATATCACTGTGCTTTAATAAAGCTTTATTTGTAAAAAATGGTGAGGGAACAGATTTGGCCTATGGATCTTAGTTTCCTGACCCCTGACTTAAAAAGGGTAGAGACTGGCATTTGAATTTTGTTCAAGATATATTAACTATCATCATCATCATCACCATCATTACCATCATTATCGTTGTTACCATCATCATCATCATCATCATCATCAATATTATCACCATGCTTTAACTATGACATCACATATTGAGCTTTTCTTCAAATGGAAGGAGACACAGCTCTCCAATATTTCCATCTCTCCATGCTGAGAGTAAATTCAAACCCAGACACTTGGAGGAAAAGTAAAACACTGTCTCCTCTCTTCCAATTTCAGAAACTCTTTTTCTTAAATGAGAAATAAGACAGGGTATCCCTAGGTTTTGTAAAATATTGAAAAAGCTATGATAAAACATTGCTGGAAGGAATACATCGATTCCTCTTTGTAGTATTCTGTGAGGTTAGGACAAGAAGGGACACTGTATGGGTACTGAATGCTTTCTGAGGCTTTCAAACTTAGGACAATTAGCTGAACTTGCTGTGATATGTCAGAGGCAGCATGGGGAGCCTCAGGAACACAGGAGAGATCTCAGAACCCAGGGGAGTATTCAGAGAAGGCTTCCTGGAAGGAGTGGTACCTAAGCTAGGGTTTAACAAATAAGTAGGACTTTTCCAATAGATAAAGAATATAGGCCTCATAGGAAGCAGTGTATGCAAAGATTCACACTGATGCAATATCATCAAGGGTAAGAGAAATGTAAACATTTTAGTGCAGCAGCACTGTGTAGGATAAAGAAGAGAGTGACGAGAGCTGAGACTGGAGTTGGCAAAGGGATTCTGAAAATAAGGATCCTTGGAGGTGCTCTAGATGCTCGGATGATCTCGTATACAGATAATGGGTCAGGCTCATGAAGAGAACTCCTACATTCAAAGATCAAGAGCACAGTTCACTGCCTCAAATTCATATTTGAGCATAAAGGATGCTTTGATATTTCCAACATGGTTGCTACATCTAAGCTAACAAGTTGCTAAGTTCCAGAATTCTGTCTAATGTTAGGAGCCATGGGAAAGGTGGCCATGCAAAGAGATGGAGAGACTGGAGAGCATGTCTGGAGCAAAGCCAATTATAGCTGCTCCCACCTCCTTTAAAGTCATGCTGGGGGTTGGGAAATCTGCACCCTGAATCCTTAAAATGTAATAAAAATCTCTGAACCCAAGAGGACTTTACACCTGCTATAAGGATCTCAGGGAATCGTCAAGGTTTTCCCATGGATTCCATTATTGGAATATGATATGAGAGAGGAAGTGGGGAAGTAGAGGGAAGCATTGATGACTCTACTCCTGCTGAGGGGAGGAGAAAGA